GCGCGAGGTGGGGCCGGGGGGCGGGGTGTCCAATTATTGGAGAGATAGCAAACACGTTTGTGGCAGAAACGGTAACGGTGAAGACGATCTCTGAACGAGAGCGCTTTAATTTGTACTGCTGTGAGCACAGGGCCTTTAAACTGGACGAGTACAGTATATGTATATGTCCAATTATTGTAAACTTAGCAAAAACATGTATTCTTTCTCACCATTAGAAGAGTACTGGATAGCAGAGACAGCCACCTGATGAGGATGCAGCTTCATTTCCATCTCTGTTGAAGCGAGCCGGAAAATCCTCACAGTCCCGTCACTGTACCCTGCAGCCACACATGCGCTGTCTTTACTAGAAGGGCTCCAGCAGACACAGCTGCAGGCCTGACCAAGACAGACAGGTCAAAAACACTTTAATTAACATTCGTCAGCCTTTTTCTCTTCACCTCTTTTCTGAGATGTAATCGCTCACCTGGTGGAGCACCTGAAACTGCACCACCAGCTCATAGCTGGAGGTCGACCACACCCTCACGCTGCCATCCTCACTGCAGGTCACAAAGTGGCTCTCATCAAAGCTAAAAACGACATCATTCACCTGGACGAAAGAGAGACATATAAACTAAAACCTCCCATACTAAAGGCATTTAATCTTAGCCGAGTGGATTTGTGTTAGTTTCAACAATCAATGCAGCAAAAAACTCTTTACGAGGGTTTTAAAACTGCAAAGTGGATAAATAGAAATATAACAAAAACAGGCAGTGATTAGTAGACAGGATTTATACCTGGATTAATAAGCATGAGGTATGAGTAGACAGTGTTTTGATATTTTAATTTGACACAGAAGCTGACACAGTGTGACAGGCTGGTTGTCTCAAAGAAGATATTTAAAATAACAGAAATAATCATCAATAACATTATTTTTGGTTTACTATGGTGTTTTAACTGTTTAAATCGTATTAACATTTAGTCTTGAAAACTTTATTCTGCTCTGAAGGTCTGTATGACAGGTTTGACTGCCAGGATTAAAACATTTTAGTAGATTATTATGAAATAAATGACACCACACATCTGCTGATAGGAGATAAATGTGAAGTATGCAGATCTTTGATTATTGTTGTTTGTGCCGTTTTATCTCAAATACTTCACTAATAAAGCAATAGCTTCAGCCAGTTTACACCTTACACATGAGCAAACCAAATGTTTCACGTCATGAAAATAAACCCATGTCAAATACTCAAGTTTTATGAAAATCAATGAAAAATCTGCCCTAAAAGCTGACACTGGTTACCTTGGTTCGGTGCCCGCTGACCAGACGGATGCTGCTGTTGTCTGACCAGTTGATGTACCAGAGAGTACCTGCCGTGGTCCCAATGATCCCCATCTCCAAGGAGTTATCAAACGCTGCACTGACCACTGTCCCATCCAGCTTCATCTCTTGTTCCACCACCACCTTCGTTCCGCTGCAGGCCACGATCCGGTTAATAAAACAAAACATCTGTTATGAAACTTTTGTTTGAATTGCTTTAAATAACACATATTAACAAGCTATTGCACAAATTTGCTACTGCCACATACAGTATATGTCACATACAAGCTAAAAGGAGTTAAAATGACCATTTATCCACAACATCTGCAGATGTTGTAATTCATGAACAAAAATAAAACAAAATGGTGAGTTAAATTAAGATTGATTTAAGGAGCCATACCAGCAGCTATCTGTTTGACTAGATTACAAGTTTTTCTTTGTGCCTACTGAGTGTTTTCCAATCAGATCTGTTTCTGTTGGATCAAAGATTTTGAATTTTTTTACAAATGTGGTTTTAATCAGTGCTAAAACAGACTGACACACGTGTTTAACCTTTATAGGGAGTAACATCCAAGAGCTGATTGAGCTTTTCAGAGCCTAAAGCTGAAGATCTCAAACACCAAATTGAAAGAGAAGATGTTGTAAAAATAAAAACAGAGCATAAAGAAAAGGAAAAAAAAAGAAGAGTAGATTTATATAGTTTGTATATCTAAACGTTTGAAGAAAATGTGGGACATCAAAAAAAAAAAGAAAAAAGAATGATCTTATAATAAAGATGAAGAACGGACATTGGGAATCAATTATTATGCGGAGTGTTGAGCTGATGTGGATAAAATAAAGAACATAGCAACACTAAAGGTATAGAAATACATCAGACCAGTTATTTACACAGGGAGGGTTTACAAAAAGAGACGTCATCAAAATGTGCAAAACTGGGTCTGGAAAAAAAGCAATGACCAAGCTGAGGCAAAACTGTTAATAAGATGTTTCGAAGTGAGTGAGGAAGTTTGTAAATGTATAGAAAAAACAGGACAAGTTCAACAATCTGGACTTGTTCAAGCACATTCCCTCCAGACACACTGACAGGGTGACCAACACACTTTATAAAAATAAACAGTAAAAAACGAAGCGATTTAATAGGCATCATAAAGTTTATGTGAAGTTGAAACACACACAAAAAGACTGTTTTCGTACCCATCCACACTGCAGACGTTTCCCTTAGACTTGCTGCTCTGCACAGCATCAACTTCCCACAGCCGCAGCCAGTGGGTGTCGCTGCCTGTCAACAAACGATTTCCTCGACAGAGCAGCACTCCTGCACAAAGAAAGCACATCAGTCCAAGCCCTGGATTAAAGTAAAAGTGAACATGACAAAGTATATATTCCAAATGCTTCAAATTGTTTCTTAGCACCAGTTTTATTATTTTTTTTACCTATATCTCCTTTAGCAGCTTCCCAGATCATAAAGCAGCTCAGCGTTTTAACGTCCCAGGCACAAACATGCCCTTTATTTGTGCTTGTGAACAGAACGGAGTCCATGTGATAGCACAGAGCGGTCAGCTCCACATCACCCACCTCGGCTGGTGCTGTCACCTTTTGGACCTACGTGGGTAAAGAAATGATTAAATCTCATGCATTAAATGAAACTCAAGTACAGGGTTTTCTCATACTGCATCCAGATGAGGTTTCAAAAATATTTTTTAGAGCAAAATGTAACCTACAAATAAGGGAAAGTATCAATTTGCAACATTTACCTTGAGGTCTACATTCGGTCCCCGTGAGTGGATGAGGCAGAAGTAAACCCCCTGACTGCCCACGCAGGCCATCTGACTGGATGCTGAGGGGCTGAAGGCGGCATCATGAATTGAACCACACACACTTATGCTAGACAGCAACTGGAAGTTCGTACTGCTCCACAGAGCCAAGCCTGGGTCCGAAAAATCTCCTACAAGACAAAAATAACAAATATTCAGTAATTACATGCAGCCACACAGACAGAATGTTTGCTGAACTTTAATCAATCATGTAGGACAATTTAAGTAACTTAAGAGGAATTTGACCAACCAATAGAAAGAAATAAGAGGTCATCCCTGGAGAAAGCGAGACTCTGCACTGCCCCCTTATGATAGGAGATGGTACTGCAACACTTTACATTCTGAATGTCCCAAATCAAGATGAGGCTTCTGCTGTTGTTACCATCGCTAGCTGCTGACGCCAAGGTCTGGAAAATAAGGTAGAAGCAAAACACAATTTTACGATATAAAAATATTATTACCAATACTTTAGTATAAAAATATTTATGTAAAACGCTCTTGACTCTTTTTTCCCTCTAAGGCATTACCACACATCACAGTCCTAAAGGCATGGTTACAGCAAAGACCTGCAAAATGTACCCGTGCATCATTTGAGAGAGCAAGACAAGAGATCTCCTGGCTGTGGCCCCGCAGGTGTCTCTGACTTCCTGTATGAAGATACTCCACCACCACAACACAACCACAGGAGTACGCAAACAAACCTGCAACAGGACATCATTGGGTGGTTACAGCAAAACAATACAAAAACTGTTATGAAGAGAGCAGACAAGTCATTTTATTTACATGTTTGTGTTCTGGTTAGCATAATAATAGTTATAGTTTGGATCATAAACTGAATTAAAAACAAAGTGCCATGACAAGAACATAACTTTACAGTTACTTTACTGCAACAACTAAGCAAATGCATTTGACTTTTTATATTTGAAGTATGTTTAAATTACTTCTACGACTAAATATATTGTATAAACCTTGATCGGGGCTCCACACCATGTTGCCACGACCATTTCCGTTGTAGCCGATCACTGCTTTCAGCTTCATACCTTCTTCACCAGGTTGGGGAGTTGCAGCGCTCTGCATCGGATAAAAACCAGTTAAATCAATCAGAAGCACAAACACACTCATTAACTTTAGTCCATCAGTGAAAAATGCTCTTAACCTGATCAAGAGAGGAGGTCTTTAAACGGGGGATAAAGTGCCTGTAACAGTCTGGACGCACAGGTTTATTCTGATTCATCTCCACTAAAAATAAAATAATGAAAATGATTGTTTGTTAAAAAAAATAAATAAATCCACTAACACACAGTCAGCGCTCTGGTAAAATTAAAAAAAAAAAAAAAAAAGCTCTGGGGGTTTTACCAGACTCCACATGCTGTGCATTCAGAGGAGATGAGTTCTCCAGATCTGTCACTTTAAGAAAGGAGACAGACGATCTGGGATCAGAAGTCGGATCTGGACTAACGGCATGAACTGGAACGGTTGGGTTTGCTGGGCTGTCTTCGTTAAACGACAAGGAACCCAAACCTGAGTGAGACAGAAGGAAATATCAATCCAATCAATTGGTCCTTCAGTTGGTTTGGGTCAGGTCAGCTGAATACTGGATTTGTGACAGTTTTTGATGCTATGACTTCAGGGCCTGGGCACCATGTTATACACTTTGTGGAGACACAATAGAACGTGATCACCACAACCACTCCTTCACTCTAACGAGACCAAAAACAAAGTTGTGGAAACAGAAAAATAAGGTAAGATAGCTCTGACCTATACACCAAAAAACTGACATTAAAGTTGCATGTTAACTATCTGCTGTATGCACCTGTTGTGATGTGCAGGTGTTCTGACACAAAGTTCGTTCATTACCAACATCAAACTCAGAATAAAGCTGATTTTTCTTTAATGTGTGCCTTTTATCTGTATTTCTTTATGAACGTGTATAAACCTGGAACCTGAAGAATAAATGAGCAGCTCACCAAATACATTTGGCATTCGAAATAAAACACAAAATTAAGAGTTCATCACGGGACACCAAACGCTGTAGATATTTTAAATAAATTAACTAATCAAGCCACCGCATATGAAGTTATTATCAGGCAGATTTATGGAAATACAGTCAAATTATTTTACTCACCAATTTGTTAGAACTCAGAAATGCAACCACAAATGTGAGCTTTAGGACAATTTGTTTTTTAAGTAAAGTATGCAGTTTATAAAGATAACATGTGCAAACAGAAAAACTACCCCTGTGAGCAGCTTGGTCCGTGGTGCTGTGATGCAGTTGTAGCTGTGAGGAGGGGAGGGGAGCCGTCTGTCGAGGCATCCCGTTGGACAGATGGACTTCACTGTCTGGTTGAAACGTTAGAAAACACAGGTCAGATTTTTTGAGGGGTTGCACAAATCAAGTACACTTTACAATATTTTAGCAATAGCAAACTAGTGGCAACAAGGTACCTGCTTTTGGAGCTGAAATATGGCTGACTTTTAGAGGTGAACTGTAAAAGAGTAAATTAAAGATGTTTCAACAAAGCTCGCAAAGTCTAACACATACATTGAAAAAGGTTTGTCGATCGACTTACCTACTGTCTGTCAAAGATTCAATAGGATTTGCTAAGAAGTCCCACAGAAATATGGCATCACCCACTGAGATCACACCCAGCTGATCGGGGGTGAAGCTGACCATCCGGATGGGTTGGCTGTGGCCGATGAACATCTGGTACCAAGAGAGGCTTCAGTTACTGAAGACAACTTTAAACAACTACAACACCTCTCCTAAATAATTTCTTCTTATAACTTTCAAATTACACACTCGCTCATGACGACATTTATAACAAGTGTGAATATTTAATAAACTAATTCTTGCACATGCTGATTCATTCACAGTGAATAAATGCTTTACTGCGTTGAATTAAATGAGTTGGTGCTATTAAAACATGAAGAGTTTCCAACCTGACCACTAAAGGATCAAGAGATTTATTTGTTTAATTGTTGGCTACCTGCGAGTTAATATGATGCTGCATGTGATAGTCCCACACTTTCACAGCATTGTGCCCCGCTGTTAGCAGGTATTGACCGTCTTCACTCACAGCCAGCGATGAACACCCTTGTTTGTGCACCTTGGACACCTGTGGAGAGAAAACACCCATTTGGCTGACCCTGACAGCGAGGTAAATTAGTTAGCATGTAAAAGCTCATCGGCTACCTCTCGAAGCAGACGGCCCGTCTTAGTGCTGAGCCAGAGGATCTTGTTTGCAGATGTGGCGATCAGCAGGTGCTCAGTCCAGGTTGGGGAGAAGCAGACCTTCAGAGCAGAGTCCAACTGGGAGCTCTCTACATTCAAAATACTCACATCTATGTGAAGCAGCTAAACAGAGAGGCCAAGGGTCAGTGCAACACAAATAAACTAGATTAACAAGCTCAGGGCTGAAGCGCTGTAATCAACATGGTAAATAGTCACAACTATGCATTTGTAAATAACCGTATGTAGAAAACCAAAGAACACCATTTTAATTAACATAAGAAGTAAATTTGTGAAGTGGAATTTTGATTGACCATATTTTCCGACTGCGACTTGTAGTCTGAAGCGACTTATATACGTTTTTTCGCCATTCGTGACGCAACTTTTGACCGACGTGTTCAATGTTCATTCATACTGACATGAATCAGAGAGTAAACATTACCATTTGCAGCCGCGAGAGGGCCCTCTAGGCTTTTGACAACTATATTTTGTTCCTCTACTGCTACGCCTATACCTATACTTCGGAGCGACTTATAGGCTGGAAAATACGGTAGTTGTTAAAATCAATTAATAAAACTGTGGTGAAAGGTGACAAAATACCTCGTCCAGAGACCGAGCATCAGCGATGGTGACAATGTACTCAGAGGGGCCAACAAAAGCCAGACAGCAGCTGTCACTGCTAACAGCGAGAGCGTCTGGAGCGCGCTCAGTGCCTCGAGCCACAACGTTACCTACAGAAATTATATTTAAAGTCAGTCACATAATACAGATTGTGTTTCATTTGAACAGCTGTTACAGTGAGTAACTATTTCTAAGTATTTGTAAAGTTGTATCTGAACGAGTGTTTTACAAAATATAAAGTTGAATTCTTGTTTATTTTTCAACATTTTTTCCCTTTAAACTAAAAATTTGTCACTTAATTTATTAAACATAACAAAATTCTTATGACAAATTAAACATATTTTACTGTTGTAACAAACTATGTAGATGCTGCTTATAATTAAAAAAGCAGTATTGTCAATCGTTTCCTCTTTTTGAAAAATTAATTGTTAGCTTGAGTCAGCAAATACAACCTGCGACCGGATGAATTTGGAAAATGAAACTTGAGGATTATTTTATTCCAAAACTTTAGATTTAGGTATCTAAAACATTTAGTTCAGAATTTGTTTTTCTTTTACTCACCTCATGTTTGATGAAAAACACAGATTTTCTTTAACCTAATATTTTTTGGTTGTTTGTTTTCGAGGCCATTAAGAATCATGTGGAGATGGTCCAAACAGATATTTTTGGTCTTTGAGTTGTATTTTGTGTGATTTTAAGAGTACTCACAGTATACATTTTTACAATCTAAACCATGTAGATTTAAAACGCAACATAATAAAGAAGTATGTTAATAAACCCTCCTGATTGTGTTTAGTAATCTAGTCAGAATAGTTACCGTCTTATTTTCAGTATCAGAGAATTACAATACAAAAAAAAATTTGAAAGGTTAAACCTCTCTTTTTTTATTATTGTAACTAGTTATGTTAAATCTTTCCTTCCTGAATGAAGGTTTTCCTTTAAACATACAGTATGTAGGATGCATTTAAAGATGCAATTACATTTGATAGACTGATATAAATTAAAGTCTGTTTGTGCATTAGTATAAGTACATACAGGTAACTCTGATCACATTGTGATCTTCCTCGGAGGCGTTATAAATGGCCAGAGAACCCTCAGAATCAGCACTGTACATGAACTCCCCATTTGAAGAAAAAGCCAAACCGATCACTTCTCCTCTGTAAGGTCTATGTAAAAAAGAAGAAGAAAAATAATCTGTTACAATACCATTTGTCCATGTGAGCCTCTGATAACCAAAGAAATAAAGAAAGTAAAACTGCAGCCAGTCAGGGTGCTTTAGTTAAGCGTACTTATGTTCAGCCAGCAGTTTGGCGCTGGAAACGTCAAACACTCTGATGATCCCCGAGCTGAAGCCACAAGAGAAGGTCTGCTCATGTGGATGGAAGGCCACACAGCAGGGCATATCCTCAGATACAAAGTCATATAACTATACAAAATAAAAGAGACAAGAGAGAAATGAATGAGCTAATTTTAAGTCAACAGGGACAAAGTGGAGTTTGAGCAGGTCACACGACTACTCAAAACAACTTGTTTTGTAGTTTTGATTCAAGTTTGAAGAAAACGTCACAACAGCTAAACAAGTAGATGGTTTCCATGACTGTTTCTGCAAACAAAACTTCACTCGTAGAACAATGTTTTACTAAGTAAAAGTTCTACACAAAGGAGTTATGTAATAAAGAAAAATGAGATCAACTACACGCCTGTAATGGTCTAAATTTTGTGTTCGTTATTAAACATAAAGAGGCCCTCTCAAACAGGAAATATGGTAGTCATTAGGGATGCATGATATTATCGGCTGATATTAGCGATAAAGTTAAATATTGAGCATCGGCCATTCCATCAAAACAACTCAATGATATAAAAGGCGCTGTTTATATATATATATATATATATATATATATATATATATATATACATATATATACTGTATATATTAGGGCTTGAACAGACTACTCGAGTAATCTACACATCGATTCCTAGGACATTATCGAGTTTTAAAATTTCACATTGAGTATTCGTAGTGACGTCATTACGTCGTCGTTACGTCATTGCTTCACGTGATCCGAACCGGGCGCAGGTTACAAAATGGATTCCTCCAAGCAGACAGATGGAGTGGAGCAGGCCCAGTCTTGACAAATAGGTAGAAATGCATCAATAGTCTGGGAATAATTCACTAAAGATGAATCTTCCGGTTCAACTACCGTAAGGAAACAGAAATTGAATCAACTTCCTGACTGTTTGGAGCTCGTTGTGAACCGGAGTTACACCATATTCTGTGACCACTGTATATTATGACCGTAGGGGGTGGTGTTGCATGTACTGTTGCAGGTCACAGAATATGGTGTAACACGGGATCCAATGACCGAAACAGAACCAGCTTCCTCTGACCTTGTTTCACAAAGAAAAAGCAAAAAAATATTAATCTCTAAACCTATAAAAAAAACCTATAAATATATTAATCTCTAAAACTAAACTTAATGCGCACCACAGCTGGCGGTGGTGTGGAGTGGTCGTCCGCCCCACTGTTTTAAGTTTTCAAGTATTTTCCTCAATATCTAATGTACAAAATGAGACGCATAGCCTTACTTCAAAAATACAGAAACATCTAACAACTAAATAAATGGCCATTTCTAAAAACACATTGAAATAAGTTTAACATACTTAAAAACTAATAGTAGCTGCTGTAAATTTAAATAATAAATGCAATGTTGTTTGACCTGATGCAAGGAATCCATACTCCAAATGCGCACCGTCCCATCAGACGAGGCGGTTGTGAGATGCCGACGAATGCCGTCCACACTGAAGCCGAGGACAGTATCTGTGTGCGACCTCATTAGAGTGTTGTAGCCTCGGCTACTCACGTCAAGAAAACCAAGGTTACCAGACGATGTGGCTGCCAGGACCTGCAGGCCATCAAATGAGACCAACACCTTGCTCACAGGTCCCTCGTGCTCTGAAAAACAACAATGTGCTTGTTATATTTGTGGAAGAACGTGGGAGTGCACATAAACAACACTCGTCATTTTCATGTCTGTTCCAGTTCTGATACCAACCAAAACAAGGTATATACAAACAGGTGAACCCAAAAGTGCTAGGAATCAGGATATAACAAAATGTATTTGGTCCTCTCTATCAACTCGTCAATGCATCACTGTGTAATATATAAATTTTAAATATGAAAACAAAGCTTTATGAAAAAAAAATGCTGCCATTGAAGAAAAGCTGGAGAATTCAAGTGTTATACACAAACTGCCAAAGGAAAAAAATATTAGTCATCTCTGAAAAGCAATCACTGCTGTCCATCACTGTTTGACAGGTTATAGAGTCATTTTGAAACACTCTGACATCCATTATTCTACAGAGTGGAAACCATTCAAGAGCTACCCAGGAGTGGACATCTGAACAAGCTCACACTGAGGTCAAACTGTTCATTGCTTGGGTTCTCCCCGTGTACACGTGGATTTTTTTTCAATTACTCCAGTTTCCTCCCACAAACCAAAAACATACGTTAGGTTAATTGGAAATTCTAAAAATGTCCTTAGGTGTGAGTAAGAAGATGAACGCTTGTTTGTCTCTATGTGGTCATGAGATGGACTTATTGCGTGTCTAGGATGTACCCAATCAGGAAAAAAATAATTTATGCAATGCTACAGAGTAACATGTCATGTCTTGTTCATTTGAGATTAAACGTATTTTAGTAATTTTAAGACATTTTAAAGATCAGCTGAATCTTATTACATGTGTAACTGAGGGCATACCAGCCAATAAACCAAAAACAGTTTTTAGTGTAGCGAGGCAGTTGTTTGGTTTTGTTATAATGCAACTGGACAAAACAGTCAAATTAAAATAATAACAATCCAGGCATGCATAAAGATCAGTGCCCACAGAGAGGAAATATGAGCAACGCTTAATCTATTGCAAGTAAAAATCACTCCACCTCCTGTAGTGTCTTACCAGCCTCTAAAATGACAGCAGAAAAATCAAGAGGCCAGAGCCGCAGGAAGCCATCTTCAGAGCCTGTGGCACAGAATGACGAAGACACGCTGATGCTGTTAATGGCAATACCTGGACCTGGGATACAAACATACGTGTGTATTAGAAAATTAGTAAAAACTTATGGCAAACCCTAATTTATCTAAAAAACAACAGATTCACAGTAAGTAAATTGTTATATTTTAAGATGATTTTTTGTTGTTGTTAGGATCAATCTAAAATTAAGTAAACGCCAACAATGCTTGGGGTAAAATTACAGATAAAATAGAAGAACATAAGTGTGTATGAAAGTGCGCCGACACACCACCTTGATGTCATAAAAATATCTTTCTGAGCATCACTTTAAAAGTACTCAATAACTGGCACACCATCTGGTTTGATTTTAGACCTACCTGTGTTAAAAGTCCATTTCTCTCTGCGCTCTCCGTGTTGCTGTTGAGCAGGTAACAACCTTCTAACGTTTTTTATAGCAACTCTGCTGTAGTCAATTTCAAAAATATGACCACTTCGACTGCTGGCAAATCTATTACAGAAAAAAAAAAAAAAGACAAGTTTAATGTAAATAAACAAACGTTTTCAGAAGATTCAGATTTAAATTTATTTTTCTTTTAGACCGGAGATAATTCAGAAAGGACTGACTTGTTCACTCACAGAGTTCGATCATCATAATACTTGTCAGAAGAGTTTAACTCCTCAAAGGCCACATCGGTGAAGTCCACTGAATGGTATTCACCGAGGTTAACCGGACAGAAGCGCAGAGTCCCATTCCGCACCCGCCACAGACGAATATTTTCACGACCACACGAGACCAACCTGAAGCCAGCAAAGACACAGAAGAATTTATGCTTACGGATTTCTAATGATAATGACATTCTCAACTATTCCTACACTCAAATATAAAGCTCTCAGGAACCAATCTCCAACTCAGACTGCAGGTTTACTTGTGGTTCCTAGAGTTTCTAAAAGTAGAATGAGAGGCAGAGCTTTCAGTTATCAGGCTCCTCTCTTGTGGAACCAACTTCCAGTTTCTGTCCATGAGGCTGACACTCCATCTAATTTCAAGACTGAGCCCCCCATTTCAATAAATCCTATCGTTAGGGTTAGCTTGGATTTCCTGATCTATCCCTTAGTTATGCTGCTTTAGACTGCTGGGAACATACTGACCACATTTCCTCACGCTGCTGCTGTCTTTAAGCACTCTAGAAGTTTGTATTTGCAATTATTGTTGCCAATAATAATTGGCAACAATATAATAAATTCTTGTTCCTGTTCTCTCTAATCCCAGAGGCAGAAGGTCGCCTATTCTGAGGATGCTTCTGCTGGAGGTCTCTTCCTGTTAAAAAGGAATATTCCTTTTCACTGTCGCCAATGCGCTGCTCAAAATGGGAGATTTCATCAACGATTTGACACAAGCTGCTGGCTTCCTCAGACAGATCACTTTAAATAATTGGTATTTCATACAGTGTTGCATGTGAATGTATTGTGTTAGAATAGAAGTTGACTGCAATTGGATTAGAATTTGGATTAGAAATGAATTTATCATTCAGACTTTTGTTTCTGTGTGGTTCCCGAAGATGATTTTTGTTAAATAGGGGTGCTGTATAAATAAACTGGATTGAACTCATTATAACTAAATGGAACTATATGGACGCATTCACGGTTTAAAATTAAAATATTGTGTAGTAGGATACCTTGTATCATCAAAGAATGCAATCTTCATGGTATTAATGTCCACATCTGTGTGCGCTTTGGCTAAAACAGTCACCTCTTCACCCCCGTTAACATTCATGGTGTTCCACACCACTACCATCTATAAAAAATAATTATAACAAAACAATGACGTGGAACATTTTCAAAGGGGATATAAGCAGATATGCTAATCTAGGCAATATCTAATAGTTGCTTATTAAATTCTGAGTTAATCCAAATGAGCTATAAGTGAAAACTAAACTATAAAATGTAATTTTTAAATTAGGGGAACTTACAGTTTTATTGTGGCCATCTTTACCCACACCACAGAGAATCCCACCACCATAAGAGAAGCTTCAGAGTGGAAAAAGATTAAAGTCAAAACTAGGGTGAGAAAACAGGGTTCATCAAGCTTCACTGTCCAGTGGAATTCACTGGAAATTTATGAGCAAACGTACCTCAAGCAGGATAAGGAGTGAGCATGGATCCTTAACATTGTCAGACAGTCTCCTTTAATGTAGTTCCAAATACGAACTACACCGTTGTTGCCAGTTTGTGCTGAAGCCAGCAGTGTTGTGTTGCCGTTAAAGGCCAGAGCAGAAATCTACAGAGAAAAAGATATAACTTCCTATAAAAATGACCATTTTTCTCTGCTGGCTGTTTGAGCGACAGGAATTTGCCTCATACAATGTTTGCCATCATTGTGAAGCTTGGACCCTTTAGAGCTAAAATTCCTGATGACATCATTCTAGATCTAGACCAATAAAAATTAAGGTTTTAAACCAGCACTCATAAACAAAGCCAGCTTGTTGCCAGGCCAGGTGACAGATCACTACATTTCAATAAATTATGTTTTATTTTAAAGCTATTGAGATGAAGAATTTGAAAGGGAAAAAAAAAAATCACAGTGACACATTTTGCCTGCAAGAGTCACACATTTTGATCAGACTAAGGATTATTTCTGATGACATACCTGTTAGAAATATCGGATCTAAAGGTAGATTTGAAATAATCTATGTTTTTGTAGAAAAGGGATTGCTACATTATGTCTTTATGGATTTATTTATACACAAATCTCAATTATGGCAAATCACTTTCACTGCAATCTGCTCATTTTGGCTTATTTTGTTAGCACGGGGCAAATTTATACATCCTCTTCAGTGAGCGGTAAACATAACTGGGAATTGTAGCCAGAAATAAATTCAGTAATTAAAGAATTTTATTTACAATGTAACAAGAATTAATATTTTATACCTTATCAGTGTGACCTATGAAGAATCTCTGCTTGTTTGAGAAAATCTTCATAGAGACAATAATCGCGTGACATGGATACACCACTGCATCACCTGATTTAGTCCACAGGGCCTGAAGCACAATAAAGTAATATTAACACTCTATATGAACTGAATTTATAGATATATCCATATTGATCCTACTAAAGCCAGGGTGATGATGGTTTAAGTCAGAATGAGCATACATGTTTAAATGTAGCTCCTCCAAAGCCGATGATCCTACTGAGCCTGAGGATTGGGTCTCTGAGCAGCCTCTACAGAGAAGAACAGGAAAAGGTTTTACAGTGAGATCTAAAAGTATTTATTAGCACTGCTCATATCTTACTTGGAGTTTGCTTTCTTTGGATGATGGAAGAGACACAGGATGTGGAACTGGATTGAACGCCACCTGGAACACCACAAATTAAATTTATTTCATTGTACATGTAGCTTTTCAAAAGGCATTACGTCAAGAACAATAATTAATAAAAAAGAGAGAGTCCATCTGTGAGTTAACATTCAGCTGAATCTAGTTGATTTAAAGCTTGAAGCATCACCTCTTCTTCACTTTCCTCCCCCTGTGTGCTGAGCTCTTCTTCAGGATGAACGTAGACATGAATCCCACCATCATCAGTAACACGCCTGGATGTGACATGATGTAAACTGGAGTGAGCCGAGTCCTGCAGTTGGCCATCATTATGCCAAAGTTGATCCTTCTGATTAGAAGAGAAAACACCAAACTCAGGACTGCCGGGTACCTCAGCTTGATTCTTCAGGAGCTGAGAAGAGAAGGGTGGGGTTAAATAACAGTCACTTTAATACTACTTTTACCGCACAAAAAATAAGGCAAAGCACATGCAATGTTTATACAAACATTTATACAAACATAAAATCTTAATACAAGAATCTAAATTTTAAGCAATCTTACTGATTTTGGGATGGTGATCTGGTGACTGAGGGAAACACGGTCCTGAACTGGTTTACTGAGGTTGACACAGTGAGACTCTTCTCTCACTGGGTTTATTTGGTTTGAAGCACTTCCTGAGAAAGACATGAAAATCAGTCATTTACAATGCATCACTACACCCTCCCCAAAATACTGTTTCTTATATTTTTTTTCTGATCATAGCATTCAGCTGCCATGTTTGCTCACCATCAGGCATGGCAGTAGAAACAATTTAAGCTCTTTTGATCTGGTAGCAGAGTATGGCATGCAAGGACAGTAAAAATGTATGTGGAAAAACAATAAATGTTATGACTCACGAGACCCTGGCTTTGGATTTTCTTTTTGAATTGAGTCAAAAGGTAATTTTGTGCCCTCTGAGGGAAACCTGTTGAACAAAATAAGATGCTAAATTGTTATAAAAACCTCAATTTTTATTTTATTCAATTTCAATTCAATTCAGTTTATTTATATAGCACCAAGTCACAACAGAAGTCATCTCAGGGCACTGAACAGAAACATTCATATACATAAAAAAACAAGTTAACACTTTTTATACAACAATTTAGACTGCAGAGGTTATTTAATGAAGTTCAATGCAGATACATCTGAAATGCTCTTTGTACCACTGAAAGTGAAAAAACCCCAAAAAACATCCCCAGTTTATACTTGCAGAGCAACATGAAATACGATATCTTAAATTTCAAGACTGTACAGTTTTTTTAAAGAATAGCTTTCTTTGTAAATGTATTTTTTTAATAAATAACTAATGATACTGATTAAAAAAAGCAACCAACTCATGGATGAAGCTAATCTTCACTGACTTACACCAAAACCTCATCATTTGTGTAGTCAGAGTGTAGTAGATTTTGCCTTTACTGTTTCTCTTGTAGTTTTATGATTAGATGAGAGTACCTTATGTGATCATAGCGGTCACTCCAGGAGCCTCCTTTGGGCACTGGGAAGGACATCTCTCTGGGCATGGGACCTGTTCCCCGAGAAGAGGCCAGACCCATCTGCTTTGCTTCACTGAAGGAGACCCCTGTTCAGAGAAATTAATATTGTTAACCATTTAAAAACTTGAGAATAAGTTCTTACTGAACAAACAATAACTTTTATGTGCAAGCATTAATCCTCTAGTAAATTTCACATATTATTTTTAATCAATGCCTATAGATGCTGCTAGAAGTGAATGGACAATAAAGACTTTGACATAGGAAAATAAAACAACAAAGCTTTGTTTTTATATTGTTACACTAAATACCAAATTATTTTATGTGTACTTACATTCAATAGGCCGTCAAATAAAACATAGTTTAATGTTTAATGTCTCTCATAAGATAGCTAAAATTAGATAAAAACAAAGAGCTAATGTGATTTAAAAAAAATGTGCATACACTGTATGGCATTACAGAAAAAAAGATGGCAAAGTTTTGATTCTCACCTGGATCAAGCAGCAAGTCACTAGTAAACATGTTTTTCACAACCATGTTGGCGCAAAGCTTGATGCTCTTCAGGTGACTGTAATGGCGATTGAGGTAGACAGAAAGTGTGAACTGCAGGTCCATCATCAAACAAGTCCAACGCACTGAAGAGGGAGCTCGGCCCACCATACCTGCATCACATAAACAGAAATACTGCATGCACTCCAGCAAAACATGGACAAATACCAAAGCTGTACAAATACCAGTAATTTGATACATGGGAAGTGTCATGGCTTCACACCAACCATCACACTGATCTATGTGAATGTATTTTACCATGCTTTGCAGTTCTGGATGTGCATTCATATACAGAATCCTTTGCAGCGCCACACAAGAAAGGAAACTGAAGCCATGTAGCTGTGGATTTAAATTCTTTGAACATGTTGGAAAATGAGATTCGGATCACTTGGCCCTCCTGCAGAACATATCAATGCATAAAAAAGAGACAGGTGTTCATTCTTTTATCTGTCAATTCAAGTAAGTAAAAACAAATAAAGGTAAACTATTTTAAACCTAAAAACATGTATTTAAATAGCCTAAAACAGTAAGACCTGGTGTCCATTGTAAATCACATCATCATAGTGTTACATATTTGCTGTGATTTTACTGATCAAGTTTATGTAAAATCAACAAAATTAACACCATTTTACCACAGTGTGAAATATCAAATTGAATGAATCACTGTTTTATTTCTTTGGGTGGATTTTAAGATCAAGTCTAATCATACTACTGTCAGAATAAATATTTCCAAACTTGTTAAATGAAATGTACTATAAGTGTGAAAGCATAGTCATTTGCTTTATTTCATGGCCCTCTACAGTATAATTAGGTCTTATACCTCCGCAGTGACATCAAGGTGAACCATAAAGTATTTTCCTGGAGTGGGCCTGAAGAGAAGGTAAAAGTAGCGACCTGTCAGCCCCAGGGAGTGGTTGGTGTTTTTGGGAACCAGGATGTAGCTGTTGGCAGGGACCGGACCCTTGATCCGGAACACTGGACACTTTAACGTCTTGTCCTGCAGAATTTGGTGTTGGATAGAAATAATAATAATTAGAAAGAAAAATGTATCTCTTCAGAGTCTGGTGGAAGTGTCCCTGATCTGCAGCTTCAATTCAATTCAAATTCAATTCAAAAATACTTTATTAATCCCAAAGGGAAATTATTTTGTTGTTATAACTCGTTATCCTCATTTCATTAAGAGATGTTATAGATGATGATGGCTGTAGGCAGGAAGGATCTCTTGTAAAGGTCCATCCCACAGTGAAACTAAGAAACTGGCTGCAGGTGCCGTCCGATCCGTCCACCCAGACTCGGCTGGCCTCTCGGTTCTCCTGGACTGTAGGACGATGGCCACTCCTCCCAGCAGTCTGCCGAGCTCCTCATAGGTGCGGACAGCCAATTGTAGGTGCTGAGGGACGATCCTGTCCTTCCGCTGTCGTGAGCCGTGTTTCCTGCTAGTTCCAGGATCTCGGTGGACAGGCACTCGAGCACAGCTGGCAGGTAGATGAGAATGCATCCACATAACATCCTTTTCAACTCATTTGAGAGTTGGGGCCATAGTTGAGATATTATTTGAGCTTTTGAGATGTTAATCAGCTGCTGTTGTTGTAGAAAACAGCCTTGTTGCCATGGTTACTCATCATAACAAATGTCCAAAGCTTAAAAAGTTTCAGTAAAAATCCTTCCGGCTGCACAGCATCTGATACCAGAGGAAACAATAATCTGAAAAATATGATTTACATCCAGAAAAAGAGGAATTAAAGTTTCCAAAAGCAAAATCTCAGAATGAAAGTAACAGAGCTGCAATTCTAGAACGAAATTCTAGAAATTTGTTTGTAGAAATTCTAGAATTTCTAGAAATTCTCAACTTTAAACCACAACATTCTAGAAATTCTTAAGTTAAATCTCAACATTTTAAAACTGCCTTTAGGGTTCAGTTTTATAAAGAGGTAAATTACCTTAAATGACACACATTTAGAGAGCAAAACGTTACCGTATATGAGGACACATCGCCCACTTTGGCAGATTTTTTCCAGTCTTCAACCCTGACATGTTTGAATATGTTGACGTAGGGATGCTGCCAACCTGCTAAATCATAACATAAAGTACAAGCTACAGCAGCGTTTAGTTTTGTCACACAATATTACTTAATTCCCTCATATTTAGCTTTATTTGATCAATTAAAAATTTAATCGTTAACTTTACCTTGGAAAGCCATAGGAGAAATCCACCTGATACTTCACGACTTCAGCCAGTTTACGCTAGCAAACAAGCTAGAAACTAATAACAAAGAAGAACAAAAACGTTTATTTTATTCCAAAAAGCCTAACAATGATAATGTCTTGAGTCGTACGCCATTGTAATATTCAAAAGTACTTCGTTTTTTAAATACCATGTAAACTACATCGAACTTGTCTTGTATGCAGTTTTCTTCCCGCTTCAGCCTCCGCTGTTTCCAACGACAACAAAACGTCGCGTGACGTGATGACGTATAATCGTGGCGCTGCTGGGTAATGGAGTTTAAAGAGCAGCTCTAAAGGTACATTCGATATTTCAGGAACAGGACTTTAACACTTTATTAACTTGATTGCTTATTGATCACTTTTAGTTTCCTGGTTTAGAGCACAATCTACCCATGTAAATTCATTGTATTTACAGTATTAATACCTCTATAAACTACTGGTTCAGACATTGTATGTATGTAGCAGATTTTTTCATGTCTTTTTTTTTGGAGTATTTACAGAATCTTGCCATGTACATAATGCTTAATATTTTGAACATATTTTTTCATATTTACAACAAACTACAAAATAAGCTTAATTGTACAATAAATAAACTTGAGCATTCAGTCTTTATTTGCGACATTTGGGAGCAGCTCCACAGGGTCTTTTAGATGAACGAGGACGTCCACCTGCATTTCCACTAATGATTGTCCAGTCTCTTCTTGATCCCTGAGCTGCATTGTGTTTTCGATCGTTCTTGACAATGAATAAGAGGGCATCAAAGAAGCATGTGCTTGTGAGGAAGATGGCTGAACTGGATGCCTTAAATTTAAAATCTGTGAAATATTAGTAGGTGAACAATCTGGCACTGCCTTGATCGCTGAGATGGAGGATCTGTTGCGATCTGGGACTGTGGCAATGGAGAAAGTGTCTGCTGGAGGATGAGGGACAGCTAGTCACTGTCTACAACACACAATATCTGTCTTTGTCCTCCAGCTGCGCAACTTCCTCTTCAGTTCTGTCTGCACCTGCACCCAGTAAGAAAGCAAAGTTATTACCCAGTTTTTTACACCCTTTCTGTTGCATTTTTAAGTTTAAAGCCATATATATTTTACATGAGCTTTAAAAAAAGTCCCACCCAAATTAGTTTCCTAATATAATTATATATGGCCTACCTCATGTCTATTTTTATTATGCTGTGGTGTTGTAAAATATTAACTTAATACATAAATTCATGTACAGTGGTATGTATTATACATTGACTACTTTGTATTGCTAAATATTCTGGACCTTCTGAGAATGAAACAAGAAAATGAGGTGAGCACAGACCTCTTTATTTGCAAAGCAGTAGAGCAAAGCCACAAGTAGGCCCTGCAGAAAAAGCACATCTTATAAAAGTTTTGTTTAGTTTCAGCATGTTATGTTGCACTGACATGCTTTAGACTGTTTTGAAGATACCAGCACGAAGTCACACTCATGACTCGTTGAACCCACCTGAAATGAACTGATAAAAAGAGTGGAAAACACTTTGATGTAGCGCAGGATGCCCGTTGTCTGCTCGTCTGTGGCAAAGACGAAAAGCACCTCATGAACCCCAAACAGAGGGATGAGGGTGAGAGTGGCCTTAGCAAGCCTAAATGCACAAATCAAACAGAAACTGCAATTTGTCAGATTGATTTACACGATGCTTCATGTCACATTTCTTTCAGCAAAAGCTTGGACCTCCTAAAGTGACAGTTCAACTTTTTTCATTTGCGATTCTATGGAAAGGTGAACTCTTTGAACAACATCAGTTTTGTGAAATAGAGTTTAATATATGAATTCTGCAATATTTATGAGCTTGTACTATGAGAGAGGTACGTTCTGCTCCTCTGCCATGGAGACTAATGACAGTTTCAGAAAATAAACTATTAAAAGTTTGTGCTATTGTTTATTTTTTTATTTAATATTTCACACACAAGTTTTATTTTATTTTATTACTAATTTTGTAGATTTCGTTATGGTGGTCCTGGTGCTCTGCTTTCTTCAAATTTTCATCAAGACTGCAATGACCCAAAGTTAATTAAACTAGGCTGTTGTTCAGTAAAGAGCATTTATGTGGCCAACCAGGAGGTTTGTAATACAAAATGTTGGCCAGTTTTGATATGTTTTAAATTTTACAAATGCCATTGAACAAAAGTTTACTATGTTTGTCGATATTCTTGAAAAGCTTCAGCATGGTGACTCATATTTGTACAAATTTGCTGTGGATATGCAAATATAAAACACCAACCCATACCACACCATCATTTGACAATTAAATATCTTTGCTATTTATTGATGTGACTTATTTATGACCTGACCTATTTGTTACCTGACTGCACTTTGTTGATTTGTCACCTGGATTATTGAGCACAAACTTTGATGTTTGTTATGTACTGTTATAAAAATGATCCTAACATATTAACTAATAAATATATCTTCTGACTGGATGAGCTGTTAGAATCATAAATCCCTAACTAGGATAATCACTGTAAAGAGAAAGAAAAAAAAAAGTCCCTGTAATGCCACTTTAATTGTTGACATGAGACTTGTTGTGCTGCTGATTATGCTGCTGATTATCTCATGCTGCTGTATTCATTCATACACATCTGCTCACACAGACTCATGTTCAGGCTGCTATTGTTACACCATATTGTTTTACATTATTAGTGTTTAGTGTATATATTTGATCCTTATATACTGTTTCTTTTTATACTTTATATTTTTTGCCATTTTGGGGTATAACTGGGTTCTTGGGTACATAATTTCATTCCACCTCATGTACCACATGTGATCCGAATGACAATAAACTTGACTTGAACTTGGATGGTTAATCTAAAGGCTAGTCCTTCCAAGGCCAAAGTGGATTGCTGCCAATTTAAACCAACTCCTGTCTCAAAGGTTTTATAGTTATTCATGAGAACACTCTTTTATAATAAACAACCATGTCATAAAAAACAAATGGTGGTGTTAAGAGTGATAAAATAGTGTTTTTATAAGTTGCTTTATCAGTTATGAGGTTCAAACCAGCCATTATCCTATAAGTTGTCAGACTCGAGCTGTATTTCTTAAAACTGAGGTTGTTCAAGGAGCCATCTATGAATTGTTTATAGCTTTACTCCTTCAAGGAAAAGTTTTGGCAAGTTTTATTTATAGTCATTACATCAATGAAACAACTTGCCGGAGTTTGTAATCTGGGTATTGACACTGATTGTTGCCTCGTAGTTTGGAGAAAATCACCCCGAGGATCTTCAAGAAAATCAAAAAATTGATCTGTTGATCAGAAAATGACGACATAATGTTGTATCCACACAAGGCAGCAATGTCAGACGATGATGAAAATGTTTGTAAGTAAACACTTGGTTTGTATAAGTCATCTTTACCAGCGTGGCAAAAAGAACTGGAAAACGAATAATCCACCAGTAGTTCATGTTCTCATTGACAGCCCAACACCTGGGAACAAAAAACACTTGTCAGTGTTTCTCCTAATCTTTGGCACAGAGTCAGAATCAGAGTTTCTTTATTTGTCGTTCCACCACATGTGGTACATGTGGTGGAACGAAATTGTGTACAGGGTCCCAGTTACATCCAACAATAAAATGTAAAAGAAAAACAGTTATAAGATCTAAGATTTGAACTAAGAAAAACATTAACTAAAAATACGCTAAGCACTAATAGCATAAAAACAATACGCCCAACAGCAACATGAACATGAATCTGCTTTAGCAAATGAGCACGAATGAACACATCAACATGAAACAGATCAGCAGCAACATGAAACAGATCAGCAGCAACATTGAAACAGATCAGCAGCAACATAAAACAGATCAGCAGCAACATGATGTGATTTTTTCACAGTGATTATCCTGGTTAGATATTCACGAGTCTAACAGCCTCAGGGTAGAAGCTGTTCCTCAGTCTTGTGGTTCTGCACTTAATGCTCTTTAACCTCCTTCCTGAGGGGAGTGGGGCAAAAAGTGTGTGTGCTGGGTGAGTGGGGTCCTTCATGATGCAGGTGGTCGACACATGAAGATAGAGACAACGCACAAAACTACTCACTCATTGTTTTCTTTCAGTATCTTCACCACCACCCAGGGAACCACAAATAAAAGTGGAGTTCCTGGAGGAAAACCGTGAAAGGACACACTTAAATGAACTGCAGCTAGATTACAAAAAAGAAAACAGATAACATGGACGATGAATAAATGTTTGGCGTCCACTGACTAAAAGGTTACTTTGTTCTATTTCTCCTGATGCACTCTGAGACTGTTGTGCACTTTGAAAGCATTTCAAACAGGGGTTGCATCTTGATGTGACGCAAAACAAAAAGAAGATTTCAACAGATGTTGAAGGAGGTCATCTCTCTAAATTCTGAGTAAAAGGTCTCATGTAAACTTCTTTCATGTCACACTGCTTGGACACAAAAATCTATACGGAACGTACCCCAGCCAAGACAAAGGTAAGGCAGGTATTTGTTGTTGTCAATGAAGACGGAGGAAATGAGAACAGAATATAAATAGACTGCCTCTCCAAAGAACCAGAAGTGATTGGCCAAGACGCAGTACTGCATCAAAGCCTGTGCAATCCTGCAGCCAATAGCAGCCTAAAGGAAGTGGAAAAAACCATACGCAGCATGAAAACACAGTCTTAAATTACCACCAAATCCCCAATGTTTTATGGCATTGAAGTTGCATAGTGTTTTTTTATAGCTCATATACATCGAACACCAATAAAGAGGGTTTCAGAGACCTACCTGATGACTCAGCATCTCACTCACATCGGTCTGTTTGATGATTTCCCTCCCCCAGTGGCGTTCCAGCATGGTGTCCTTAACAATGACTGCCACAGCTCGCAGGATGAAGGACAGGAAGAGGTTGGTGTGAATGGTGTTTCTGGTGCAATGCAGTTTCCTAAGGTGCACAGTAACGACCAAACCTGAGATGTGAGTCAGGGTTCAACGTGTATTTTAAGTACAATGATCAGATGATTGCGTTGTTTTTGTCTGACTTGCAGATGCACAAAAGTTTTGAGGGGTTTCAAGCTACAGCACAGTGTGTTACCACATCATGCGAACAGTTCACAAGCAGCGGCCATTGATGATGAACAAGCAAGCAACATGTTTGATCTGCAGATCATCACTTCAAGCAATAAAGAATAGGCTGCATGTGAGTCACAAAGCTTACCTAAAGCTTAGGAGGATGACGAGAGCCAGTGTAAGTGTGCACAGGGACGTGCAGTAGCCGACAGTATACAAAGTCCTGAAGCTCACCATCAACTGTTTGTGCCACAACTGTGAAGAAAAAAATCCACACTTTCTCCAAAAATTAAAACAAACGAGAGGTCAAAATTAACTTAAACTTAAATATTCACGATTATCATAATTTCAGCACAATTCATGTTGTGAGTCCAGCTTGAATGAAACTCGTCTATTGTCTGAAAGGGTTTTCTTCAATAAAGAGAAATAATTATCAGCCAGGGAAAGTCTTACAATCATTTTATTTGTTGCAGAGTGTTATTCAAGTCTTTCACCAATAAAACCAACCTGGAACAAAATGTCTCATATAGTTATGAAGGTTTTAACTGTATGGTTTGAAGGTTGGAGATCTTTAGGGTCAGAATTCCTTCCTTCCTTCCTTAGACAGATAACTTTAATATTTAGCATTTTTAATGTATGTGGATGTTTTTCTGCAGTGCCCTGAGTAACTTGGCAGTGGCACTATATAAATAAACTGAAGTGAATTTGATTGAATTGAACTGAAGCCACGATTATAAAACGCTTCTTTCTAGTTCCACATGCTCTATTCAAATAAACAATTATAGTTATGAAATATTATTATTATTATTTTCTTCTTTCGGCTGCTCCCTTCTTCGTCAGCGGTCGCCACAGCAAACTAAGTTGCACGAAGACTTAGCAATTATTTTTTACACCGGTTGCTCTTCCTGACACAACCACAGATCACCGAGCTACCACAGCCCTCGGTGTGGAGCAGAGAGCTGCTATCTAGGGCACACGGGGGAGCAGATGGGGGGGGGGGGGGGGGGGTGTTAAGGGCCTTGCTCAAGGGTCCAGAGTGGGGCAAATGAGGGTGGAGGTAGGTGTGGGTGCTTCACCAATCCCACCCACATTTTGATGTGTTCGGCACCGGGAGTTGAACCAGTGATCTTCTGATCACAGGCTCACCTTCTCTAACCTCTGAGCCACCAGAGATTAGAGAAGGTGAGCCTGTGATCAGAAGATCAGTGGTTATGAAATATTATTCATTTGTAAATATGAAATAAAGTTTTATGTACCATGTGTTTTACTTCTTACAGACACACCACGTGAACGTTACATAATGAAATGTATTAAAATGACATATGTGGTATTTGTGAAACATACAGCTGTGCCTGAGTGGTTAAAGCAGTTGTCCTCCAATGGGAGAGTTGTGGGTTCGATTGCACCAACAGTCACACGTTGAAGTGTCCCTGGACGAGAAACTGAACCCCACTTTGCCTCTGATGTGTGTCCCATCGGTGTATAAATGCAATTTAAAGCACTGATTAGTCTTCTTAGAATGATTGGTTCAGTTATCATTGTAGAGATGTAGTAGAGTGCTGTATGAATGTTTGCGTGGAGGTAAATGAGGGCACAGATTGTGTTGTAAAGTGCTTTGAGTATCTTGAGAAAGGTGCTACATAAGTATAGTTCAATTACCATTTACCATTTCCAAAAATGTGCCATGGAACCAAAAGACAGAATAAATTCAAATGCAGAATACAAAACGTGATTTTACCTTAAAAACGATACAAAATGACATGCAAAGTACATGTTTTGCACAATTCATGTATGGTTTTAGAACATTTCCAACATGTTCATGAAATCAAATGGTTTTCACTTTAAGAATAAATAAAAAACATGTTGAATTAGTGTGTGTGTGTGTGGGTGGTGGGGGTGGGGGGGTGTAAATGAACATTTCTCAAAGCAGAATGGGGGGCAGATCTTTCAGTTATCAGGCTCCTCTCTTGTGGAACCAATTTCCAGTTTCTGTTCATGAGGCTGACTCTTTGTCCAGTTTTAAGACTGGGCTTAAGACTTTCCTTTTTGATAATTAGAGTTGGCTTGGGTTTCCTGAGCTATCAGTTATGCTGCTATAGGTTTATACTGCTGGAGGACAAACTGACGACATTTCTTCATGCTGCTGTCTTCTTTTGTATTTGTAATTATTTCTATCCATAAAGTGTTTTGTCTTCTTCCAATAGAAAGTACACCTGCACCTACACCTGGACCTGTCAGTCTGTGTTTGTCTGTTTCTCCTTCCTGTTCTCTCAAACCCAGCCGGTTGAAGCAGATGGCCACTCGTCCTGAGCCTGGTTCTGCAGGAGGTTTCATCCTGTTAGGAGGGAGTTTTTCCTTTCCACTGTTGCCTTTGTGCTTGCTCAGATTGGAGACTGCAACAAAGTGCAGATTCAGCTAAATCTGCTGGTTTCCTTAGATAACTTTTACAAATTGGCTTTTTTTAATGTATGTGAATGTTTTTGTACAGCGCCCTGAGACAACTTCTGTTGTGACTTGGCGCTATATAAATAAGCTGAATTGAATTCTCCTTTGCCAAGATAGTCCATCCACCTCACAGGTATGGCATATCAAGATGCTGATTAGACAGCATGATTATGGCACAGGTGTAATAATGGGCTAACCTTGGGCTGACCACAATAAAAGGCCATTTTAAAATGTATAATTTTATCACAGCACAGATGTCACAAGTTTTGAGGGAATGTGCAATTGGCATGCTGACTGCATAAATTTGTGAACAGTATTTGAGAAAAAAAGTCTTAGATCGTTGAGTTCAGCTCATGAAAAATTGGAGCGAAAACAAAAGCGTTGCTTTTATATTTTTGTTCAGAAAATGAATTAGCATTTAAACTCAATAGATTTAATTATCTGATAAATCTTTTTGCAATCAAAATCATAAACTAAAATAAAAACAAGAATCTCCAACAGCTGCAGCAAATAAACTAGCTGTTTCTTCTGTCATACCTCCTGAGACGTCACCTCTTTTTCCTCTTCACACTCTCTCATGTCCCTCCACACCTGTCCGCTGTCGTCCCTCTTCCAGAGTCCATCAGAGCCACACCGCCTCCGAACAGAACCCCGGGACACTGGGAGACAAATAATCAGCCATGCTGTTTTCAGTTTCTGCTATACACCCCAAAAACATGAGATGAGGGACCAGATGCAGCAGTCTGGATGGGATATGCCACCCACACACATGAAAAAGACCTAAACTCAGGCAAACGTTTGGGGAAATTTGCACACACAAAACTTGCACACGCATTTAAGGAATTTGGTTCACATTTTTGCTCTCGGAGTAAGAGCAGCAACAACTTCTAGAATTCAAGTTCTAGAATTGCACCGCTCGGGGTTACTGCATGTTGGAGCAGCTCTGTTACATTCATTCAGAAATTTTGCTTTTGGAAACTTTAATTTCTCTTTTTCTGGATGTAAATCACTTTTTTTGGACAATTGTTTCCTTTGGTATCGGATGCTGAGCAGCTGGAAGGATTTTTACTGAAACTTTTATAGTTTTGGGCATTTGTTATGATGTGTAACTATAACAACAAAGTGTTTTTTACAACTAGGAGCATCTGATCATCATCTCAAAAACTCAAATAATATCTCAGCTACAGCCCCTAATCTCAAATGAGTTGAAAAGGAGGCACCGTAGATGCATTCCCGTCTCCTTGCTGGCTGTGCTCGAGTGCCTGACCACTGAGATCCTGGAAATGACAGGAAACACTGCTCGTGACAGCAGAAGCAACAGGATCGTCCCTCTACACCTGCAGCCGGCTGTCCGCAGTGACTAGGAGCTCAGCAGGCTAATGGGAGGAGTGGCCATCGCTCTGGGAGGAGTTCTGCCCAACATTCGGGTGGTCCTGCAGCCCGGGGAACTAAGAGGCCAGCTGAGTCTGGGTGGATGGCTCGGATGGCATCTGCGGCCAATTTCTTCAGATCCGCTGTGGGACGGCCCTTTACAAAAGATCCTTCCTGCCTACAGCCATCAGTATCTATAACATCTCTTAATGAAATGAGGATAACGAGTTACAACAACATTTAATTTCCCTTTGGGATTAATAAAATATTTTTAAATTGAATTGAAATGCCTGTCCTTCATAAGACTTGCTCATTGATTAAACTATGGAGTATATACAGCAACTAGAAAATATGATAACCCCAGTCCTGGCATCTCTCCACTGGCTTCCTGTCCACTTCCAGATTGATTGTAAGATTTTATTGCTTGTTTTTAAAGTCTTAAAAGGTCTGGCCCCGTCTTATTCATGTGATCTTATTAACATCTACACTCCAGTAAGAGCACTCCGGTCTACCAACCAATTCCTCTTAGATGTCCCCAGATCCAAATTGAAATCCAGAGGTGATCTGGCTTTTGTGGTTGCTGCTCCAAAACTGTGGAACAGTTTACATGATCGTTTAAAGACCACTGACACTTTGAAATCTTTGCTCAAGACTCATCTTGTTTCCTTGACATTTGATCCATGCAGAGTTTGAGAACAAGCTAAAGCTGATTTTTATTGTTGTTGTGTTGTATTTTATTGTTAACTTTGTGTTTTTTGAGAGGCACAAGATGTATTTTTTACTCTTTTAATCTGACTTCATTTTAAAGCACTTTGGTCAGCGTTTGTTGTTTTTATGTGCTATAGAAATAAACTGACATTGACATGTGCTGTTTGTGGGAATCCATTTGTTTTGGTGGCTCCTCAGACTGAAGAAGTTCTTTGGATGAAGGACAAAACGTGTCAGCAAAACAAAAAAAGAACCCGTCCAGATGACTTGACTGAACATTGTTGGATTTCTACCTGGATTATTGAGCATGTTTGGCACATTGATTCATGTTTCAGAGGAACTGGAAGGTGAAATTTTATGTATTTATTTATATTAAGACAGAGTCAAACTCTCCCTTTAGTCAGTATTTGTGCAAAGTTAAATGAGACATACTGTTAGAGATGACAAAACAAGAGACAATAAATGAAAAATGTACAGAAACGCGTACAAAAAAGACTAAAATCATGTCTCTTTTGTAAATGAGTTCTCGAGGCTCAGTGAGACTAACCTGTATAAATAAAGGTTGAATGAAAAATTTACCTTTGTCAAACCAGGGCAGATAGAAAGGACATGAAATGTTGACCATAAATCCAGCAGGAGTATCGGGCCAGCAGGCATATCTGTCAAATGTCCTGTTACAGAAAATCCCTTCTGTAAAGGCAAAGAAAAATAAAACTGGTGATTGAGAAAATCGAACTTTTAACGTGTTAACATGTGTGCTTTTCTTTTATAAGAAAAAAGAGGAAGAAAATAATCATTCAGTTTGTAAAATGTGGTTAAATTGCAACATAAATCTTACAACTAAATTACCTTAAACAACCTAAAATGAGTAGATTCACACACTTTGACAAAAACTAAAACTAAATTTTGTCCACCACAAAAAGCAACATGCAATTTTTAGTTTATTTTGTATAATGTATTTTTTATGCACATTTTAATTTAGATGAAACTGAGCTAAGTTTTTTTTTCATACCTTGAGGCAGAGGCTCATTTTTAATCTTTTTGATGCAATCATCTTTATACTGAACCCACTTTAGATACGTCTCCTCCAAGACTTTCCCCCTGATCACCTCAAACTGTAGGCATGTGCAGAAAAACAGGGTTCTCGACCAAAATCATTACATTATAATAATCTGCTTTGAGGAAATATAATTTTTAAACACTGTCTCATTCACCAGTCTGACCTTTGGCAGCAGGAAACACAGCAGGTGGATCAGAGTCTTTATGTTACTCATCCCGGTCGTTTCCTGCAACACTGAGAGGAGGAAGCAGAACAGAAAAACTACAACTAATAAAACATCAGATGATATAAGCAGGCATAAACAAACAGTAATAATTGTAAAGAACAAATTCTTCATGAATTAAAAATACATTAAAATTTCAATAAAAATGGGAATTTTTACATCTGAAAGCTTAAGTTGTAGAACATTGATGTTACTACCTGTAACAGAAAAAAAAAAGGTAAAGTCCTTTTGCCGTGAGTCATTTTCAAAAGACTGATTGAATCAGGAAACACTTCAAGCACCAAACTCGATGTAAATGAAGTTAATATATTTAGATGTCTCTTATTTGAGTCCTTTCACTCACATTAAGGATTGAAAAAGGTTCTTTAATGTCGGGCAGCTTGGAAAATCTTTCGATTTTTCTAGATCTGACTCAGCAACGTCCTCATGACTTTGTCTTTTTTATGAATGCAGCTGTTGGCCTTTTCCTTGCTCTCTTTTCTAATTTAGCTAAAGATTTAATCATCCATCCATCCATTATCTTTACCCGCTTATTCCATTTTTGGGTCACGGGGGTCGCCGGTGCCCATGTCCAGCAATCACTGTGCGAGGGGCGGGGGACACCCTGGACGGGTCGCAAGTCCATCACAGGGCCACATAGAGACAAACGAGACAAACAACCATTCACTCTCTCACTCACACCTAGGGACAATTTAGAGTTACCAATCAGCCTAACATGCATGTTTTTGGTCTGTGGGAGGAAACTGGAGCACCCGGAGAAAACCCACTCATGCACGGAGAGAACATGCAAACTCCACCCAGAAGGCCCCTGGACCGGGGTTTGAACCAAGGACCTGCTCGCTGAGAGGCAGCAGCTCTACCAGTTGCGCCACCGTGCTGCCCTAGGGCAGAAATGAACAAATATATTCTTATAGTCTCAGTTGCTTACTGCTGAAAAGTGAAAAGTGTCAAAACAGTTGTCAATAAAGTTTTTATTTCTATGTGTCAATGTCTGTTAGAAAAATCTCTCATGAACCACAGAGCAAACTGTAATAAACTTCCAAATATATATTTACGACACATGAACGTTTGGGGCCCTGTGATGGACTTGCGTCCCCTCCAGGGTGTACCCCGCCCCTCGCACAGTGATTGCTGGACATCGGCACTGACGACCCCCATGACCCAAAATGGAAGAAGCGGGTAAAAGATAATGGATGGATGAACGTTTGGAGTCAACCCGAATCATGAAGGCTGCCACAGGAAACTGACCTTAGCAAACACAAAAATGGTTATATTTCAGCCAATTTGATACATACTCTGCTAAAATTTGTTGTGGTCATGGTGAAGCATCATCCCCAACACAACGAACACACTGCTGATTCTGATGTCAGTCATGGAGGAAAAGGTCTCATTTAAAGACAAATAGGATCTTTCCAAATTTTTCTTCTTCTTTCAGCCGCTCCGTTCTTCAGGGGTCACCACAGTGAACTAACTTGCACAAACACTTGGCAATTGTTTTTATGCCAAATGTCCTTCCTGACATAACCACAGACCACCGAGCTACCACAGCCCTCTGTGTGGAGCAGAGAGCTGCTATCTAGGGCACCCAGGGGAGCAGATGGTGGGGTTAGTGGCCTTGCTCAAGGGCCCAGGGTGGGGTAGGCAGGTGTGAGTGTTTCACCTTTCCCACTCACATATTGATTTTGGTCCGGGGAGTTGAACCAGTGACCTTCCAATCACAGACAGATCTTCTCTAACCTCTGCTCCACCACTCCCCCAGCATCAAAATCTTTCCATAATTGGACACAAACCTAAAAAAGCCGCCGTGCTTAAATTATGATACTGGAAGAGCTCATCTCTAGGTTATCTAATAATAATTAAAAAACACTTATTATTATTATTTTTAATCAACGTACAAATGATCTAAAACTGTTTGTTTCCTTTGTGTTTTCCCTTATTTTCATCCATTCAACTTTTATTTATACAGGTTAGTCTAATTAAGTCACGAGGACTCATTTTCAAGAGAGACCTGTTTGAAACCAATAAAACACAGATGAGGTATAAACAACAATGAACAGTCAAAAAAAACAACAACATATAAAATGAAAATTAAATAAAAGCAGTGATATAAAACAAAATAAAAACAAGCTACTTTATGAAACAAGGTAAAAATACTAAAACCAGGAACATGCCTGCATTGATTTTTACTACATTGAACTTAATAATTGTTTAAGAGGTCATGGTCAAGAGCCTCAGATCTTTAAGTAACGTGTTCCATGTTACAGGAGCAGAGTAAGAGAAGGCCCTTTTGTCGAATTCAGTCCGCACTGAGGGGACACTGCAGGTAATGATGTCTTGACATAGGAGGAGATACTGTATATGAAGGCAGCCAGGTATTTGTCCCAGCCTTGGAGTCAGACCACAGCAGCTAAATGTCATGCACACAAAATTAAATTTTAACCCTCTGAAAACAAAGAAACTTAGACGGGTAAACTCATAATGTTTGTGTCATGTCATAGAAAGCCCAAATTCTGATCCAAGATTATGTAACGATTTCCATCTTCCCATCAGACTGTTCATTTTTAAAACTCTTTTAAAAACATATTTTTATCCCCTGTCTTTTGCCACAGCCTGAAATTTGCTCTGCACTGTTTTTATTGTTTTTATTTATCTTAATGTTTTAACTGGGGCAGCATGGTGGCACAACTGGTAGAGCTGCTGCCTCTCAGCGAGCAGGTCCCTGGTTCAAACCCCGGTCCAGGAGCCTTTCTGGGTGGAGTTTGCATGTTCTCTCTGTGCATGCGTGGGTTTTCTCCGGGTACTCCAGTTTCCTCCCACAGACCAAAAACATGCATGTTAGGCTGATTGGTAACTCTAAATTGTCCCTAGGTGTGAGTGAGAGAGTGAATGGTTGTTTGCCTCGTTTGTCTCTATGTGTCCCTGTGATGGACTTGCGACCCGTCCAGGGTGTACCCCGCCCCTCGCACAGTGATTGCTGGACATGGGCACCAGCGACCCCCGTGACCCAAAATGGAATAAGCGGGTAAAGAAAATGGATAGATGGATGGATGGATGTTTTAACTGTTTTATTCTTTTATGCATTTAAATGCTCTTGATTTGTATATGTATAGTCCTTTGTTGCAGGTGTGGTTGTTTTAAATTAGAACATTTCTTTTGTTTGTTCGTTTTTCCCTCATGTCTTCTTAAGAATCTGTAGATTTGTTTTTTATGGGGATCATTATTAATTGGGCACTGCATGCATCACCTCACAGCACTCCAATAGATGCACCAGGCTCTTTGTTGTGGAAAAATGCATCAAGATCTTTTTAAAAATGTGTAAAAAAAAAATCTTTTGATTGGTTTCTAACAAAGTTCAGTCAGGTCATCTGGTGCCTGCCTTCTCCGTCGACTCCTCTGAGGCAGCCATAGCTAAAGTGGTTCGAAACATCATAGTTTATGCTCATTAATCTAGGTAGAAAATCCAACAAAGTTCAGTCAGGTTATTTGGACGGTTTCTTTTATTTATTTATTTATTTTTTGTTGTTAAGACGTTTCATCCTTCATCCAAAGGACTTCATCAGTCCGAGGAAAGTGGGCACGCCCCAGAAACCATCAGCAAACTGTTTGGTCAGTGTGAGTGTGCTACTTGTGGGACTCAGCTCGTTGTGGCTTCTCGGACTGATGAAGTCCTTTGGATGAAAGACGAAACGTCTCAACAAAATGAAGAAACCATCCAGAGGACCTGACTGAACTTTGCTGAATTTTCTACCTGGATTATTGAGCATGAACTTTGATGTTTTGACTGGTTAATTAATTGTTACACCAATAAGGATGTGTTGCCTACTGAACTAAGGCAACAAAAGTACAATTTTTTTCAACTTTGATTTATTAGGCCTGTCCGCAGGTTCAGCCCTCAGGCAACACTGCTTTGTAAGTAGATGCTTTCCTACTCATACATTTCTATAAAAACAATGAATGATTTACCTCCTCAGCATGCCAAGTTCTGTTGAATCCTGTTAGTGACTCATTCACCGGGATCAGACAGGAATATATGCTGGACCAGGACTAGAGATGACATTTTATATACTGTATGTACCTGCTATAATCAGTACTTCCTCATAAAATATGTAGTGCTTTGTCAGCTGAAAACAAGTCTTTATTTTGCTTCTGTCTTGTCTGTGGAAACCAGTCAAAAAGGCCCCAACATGATAAGATGGAATGTGCTGCTGAGTAGGCGGCACGGTGGCGGCGTTGGTAGAGCTGTTGCCTCTCAGCGAGAAGGTCGCTGGATCAAATCTTGGCTGGGGACCTTTCTGGGTGGAGTTTGCATGTTAAGGTCAAGGTTCTTTATTGTCTAAAAAAGTGAAGTCTGGTCCTCTGGACATTCAAAAAACAAAACAAATTTTTTGAATGTCCGGAGGACCAGACTTTACATTTTTAGATGTTTCTACCTGGATTATTGAGCATGCATCAGGATGTTCTTTATTGTCGTTCGCATCACATGTGGTACATGAGGTGGAATGAAATTGTGTACACAGGGTCCCAGTTACATCCAACAATAGCAAAAATATACATTGTAAAAGAAACTGTAAATAAGGATTTAAGATAAAAAACTAAGATTTACGCTAAACAAACGCCAAACGGTCCGTTAAAAGATCTAAGATATACGCTGGTCACTAATAGTGCAAAGCGATCCACTGAACAACAGCAGCACGAACATGAGTCTTTTTGGGTGGATGAGCACGAATGAATGAACCCAGCAGAATGAAATAATCAGCAGCATGAGATCAGCAGTATGGATAATCAGCAGCACATATCAACAATCAAAGTTGCATTACAGTGATTTTTATTTTTCCCAGTGATAATTCTCATTAGGGATTTTTGAGTCTTAACAGCTTCAGGGTAGAAGCTGTTCCTCAGTCTAGTGGTTCTACACTTAATGTTCTTCAACCTCCTGCTTGAGGGGAGCGGGACAAAAAGTGTGTGCAACTTATTGAGTTAGAGCCACTTTTGTGTTTGCTA